AGAGAGAGAGAGAGAGAGAGAGAGAGAGAGAGAAACAAAGGGGATTCAGCCTTAGATTGGGGAATGAACACTATTGACTGGGGTGCAGTGCAATGAGAGCAGAAAAGAACCATGATGGAGAGGGAAAATCAGAATGAGAAAATGCTGAAAACACATAGTTATACGCAAATGCTTGGCCAATGCACTGTTGTTGTGCATACTTGCATACTGTGGTGGTATTCAGGTAGTTAGGTATGAACATGTTGACAGTTTAACTGACATTAACTAACTTGCTCAGCAAGGTTCTCTTCAAGCTCTTGCTCCAACAGCAGTTGACCTGAAAAAAAATATAGGAGGCGGCAGTTCATGCTAATGCCCACTACAGTGCCACTTTCTGTGCAAAAGCTTGGAAGCATTCATGTACTTGCGTATGATATGATTTTGGGCCCCTAGACCACATTTGATGCCAAACTTTAAGGAAGGCAGTGCTGCTCTGAGTCTCCTCTCTGTAAACAGAGGTCATCTTATTTCCCATCTCACTGAGTCTGTAGATAATCTAATCAATGGCTGATAACGCAGGACAAAGGAAGAGGTCTCCTGCAGCATACAGGGGGTTGCAGCTCTGCTAGTCTGTCTTCTGGTCTGAGGCAAAAAGAAATTGGAACACGACTCATTAATTGTGACTTTAATGGGGATTATGCATTCGCTTCTGCTGATCAAGACACAGGAAGAATAAACAAGTGTGAGTGAGTGGGCGAGCATGAGCATGTGAGAGAGTAAGGGAAGTGATGCGTTTAACTTTGGCACCTCATGCACGCTGGTCTTGGCAAACCACAAGCGTAATTTTTAGCACCCCGCTTCTCAAAATAAAAACACAGGTGCTTGTACTCTTCTCAATCATGTGATGATGAAAATAATTGAGGGTTTGGTTACAGGAGTAAACACAGCTTAAACCGATATCACACTGTAGGTTAGACTACATAAAACAGACAAATTAGACAATGAAACCCTTGCAAGTGGAGGCTACTACTTCAACTATGACAAAAATCATAATTGTCGATTATTGCCTTAAAATTGTAATTATGATTATTAATTACGATTATCACAATTTACATTGAATGATGTTT